TCTGATGATAAAACAGGGTTAAGAACCACAAGACCTAGAAGTTTAGTCTTGTTCTGATACTACAGTACTTAGCTGAGTCTGCTTCTTCCTGCATAAAGCAAAGAATTGAACTGGAATGATCTCAATGGTCTCTTCTAACCTTAAAAATATAGATATTGGGGATTATAGATGAATGCTATGAATTTAGCAATCTGCTGGATACCTGGTGAACACAGTACATTCATTTATTATCTATTCCTTTTGATTTTGGCTGCCAGAAAGTATTTAACTCAGATGTTTTGCCCTGTGGAAAATTTTCTATCACTACCTCTCTCCAATTGGTGTTGGTTCTTACATTATTTTCTTTGATATTTAGAATGATGTTATTTGCATTTGTAAAAGTGTAAAAGGAAGGTATTCAATGTAAAAATTTCCATTAAGGAATTTTCCATTTTGCAATTAAACATGCTACTGGGTAAAGTATGGTATAGGAAAGTGATTAAATGCATACTAAATCATGTGGCTTGTTAAAAGTTATTTGGCTGTTTGGGGTCTCCTAGGATACCTAGTTGTTTTTCCACCAACCCACACATCCTCTACATTCCTAATAGAGCCTTTGGAATCAGCTTGGCTTTTTGAGGTTCTCACCACTCTCTTTCTATGACTTCATCATATCATTAAAAATCTAAAGTTATTTAGCATAATTTAATATATTAGCAAGATCTGTAACCGTATCCAAGGATATAAACTTGTTTGTTGTAACAACTGCCTGAACAGTCCAAAGGGCCATTCAAAGAAAAAAGCAGACCATGTCAAATTTTCAGTAGTTTTATTGAAAAATGCCTCTTTTGTTTCAGAAATAAATAATATAAGGCAGTGAAATTCACAATCTGCAGTTAAAATATAAAAGCAGCAATTCTATGTTCATAGTCTTGCAAACATTTCCAACTGCTTTTGATAACTAAGAAACATGTTCTGAAAAAAAAAAAAGTTCATACTAAATATACAACACAAACATGCAATTCCATCTCTGCAGAATAATCTGCAATTTGGCATAAATGTTAGTGTGTCTACAACAAGGAGGTTTAAGGCAATATGAAGTTGTATCCAGTTGATACAATCATTTCAGCTACATGGCTTAAAGTTTGTGGTTGTTAAAGGAGATGTATAAGAGCATTCTATGCCATAATGTGTAACAGAAGCTAGAAGAGGAAGATAAGTATGTGCGATGCAGTTGACCTTGCCCTCCTTTTTGGTTTAGGAGGGGCATTCCTTGAATCGTGGTGTAATTGAATTGCAAATAAGTATTGGAAAAGATAAACTGCCCTCTCGAAATATACAGTAGTTCTGGGTTCCAGGACTCACTGTTCAACCTAAGAGTTTCACTGAGGCTGCCCGCTGTGCTAACGAAAGGCACCAGGCACGTTCTCTCCTTGCAGCTTTTGTGAACAAAGCGTTTTGCAAGCATTTCAAGGGCGAAAGCAAAGACGCCTACAGACTGCGCGCGCGCGGCTGGCTAGGCTTCCTGCAGAAACAAGGTTCTCTACAGTAAGAAGGGGGACTCTTGGACGAAGCGTCGCCGGAAGAAACATCGCAGATACGGTGTGCACTGCTCTATTTGACCTGTAAATGATAATCTCAACACCTCCCCCAGCCTGGCCTCCCTGGGCGCCGTCTCAGGTTCACGGCCCCAGGCCGCGGGGCAGGGCGCGCCGCCAGCGCGCGTGCGGAGGATGCTCATGGGCAGGCTCGTCGGCGCCGTAGTCCTCGTACTCCTCGGTCCGCTCCGGCTCCACCGGCACGATGAAGGGCTCGCGCTCAGGCAGGTAGGCCCCGCCCTCGGGCACGTATGGCTCTGTCCGATTCAACATTACAGTTATGATTTGGGAGGTACAGACACAGCAGAAGCTAAACCATCACCCGAGGCGATGGCACTCCAGTCTTAATCTCCTAACTATAAATATATAAATTACAATGTTCTGATTACTAACATTTGCATAGAGAATTTGGTGATGCTCAAATAAAGTGACGGACTTAAAAAAAAAAAAAAAACCTTCAAAGATCCAGCAGTAAATACAATCATTGCACAAATACCTGGGAGGGGTCGGACTGGGCCAAAGAACTGTAAACGCAGAACCTGGGTAGGATTTTCGCAAATCCCCAAGTACCTGTTCATGACTTCAACTCCTCAGTTCAGAGAACAGTTTGGAAAGGTGAGGAGGTGAGGGGACGTATTGTTGGCTCCTAGAAACTGAACTCTGGAGGTGAAAATCAGCTATCACCAGGTAATATACAGTACATGACAATTTCTGTGGCTGTCTCCCCCACAGACTGAGTTACAGCTGGTGGGCGAGGAACACCAGTGGCTACAGCGAAACAGGAAGAAAAGAAGTGACTAGAGAACTTTGGTTTGAAAATGGCAAGGACAAAACCCAAATGAGAGTACATGTACAAAGAACAGTACTAATGAGTCGCATGCCCTGAATCAGACACATCGCCAACAAGCAAGACAGAGGAGGAGAGTCCATTCGGTGTTATTCCGGCACAGAGCAGGCAGCAGGCTTGGGTGCAGAAGCTGACTGTAGAATTGTTAAGTGATTTTAGTGGACAGGATCACATACAAGTCATGTACAAGCCACAATTAGTTTATTATTTACATCAGACATTTCTCTGTAACCAGGTTAATTGTTTTTCTCGAAATGGCACGATCTCCGCTGGTTAGTAGTTTTATTATGCGCCTCTGTCACAGTCGAGGCTCCTCATGGCTGTATGTTTCAACTTTTTTTAAAAATATTTTTCTACATTATTACTGAAATGCATCAGGCGTATAGACTAACACCACTGCTTTTGTTTCATTCAAGTTAGTATAGAGTCTCCACCCTCCTTTATGATGTTGACCCGGTTCATTAACCATATCTGTGGTGAGATTTCCATACAGACTCATTTCCTAATAAGCATGTGCGCAAACATCTCAGAAACAGGATTTTCATGTATTCAAACTGTAAGCAGCACTGGCGACTTAGAAAATGTTAGCCGGAACCTGAAACAGGTCAAAGATGATAGTTTTAAAAGTTGAATTACTATGCAAAAAACATATATACACATCCATCTAAGTATGTAATGGTTAAAGTATATATACGTATATATCCATATATTTCCAGTTATTTGTACATACCATAAGGCAGAGGTAATTTAAATTTATTTTATAACACATTACATTATAATTTTGTGAATGGGTTGTATGAGAAATGTACATTAAGATTAATTATAACTTTGGCCAGATGTAAGTTCTCACATAAATATATAGATATATAGATATTTAGATATTCAACTACTCATGCACTATTTGCTAGTAGCCAATCATATCAAACAGCAGTATCATTTTTAAAACTTGCAAGATGCTTGAGGGTGCACTGATGAAAAGGTCACCACTGACCACAGCATGACTTTCTTACTTCCAGATCAGCATATGTCCCCTGGCCCCACAGTCCCAAAATCAGACATAAGAGAATTGAAACACTAGAATTTCATTACTAACTCTTTAAAAATTACATTCCAGATCTTATAAATATTATTTCTACAATGTGAGTAAACTATTGTCAGCTGTCTGCATCATGTTATCAAATGCTAGTTTGCCTACACATTAGATTCCCAAAACAAATATATATATATGTGTGTGTGTGTGTGTGTGTATTCTTAGCATTCTACAATTTTATTCAACAAATCACTGTTGCCAATCTTTAGGTTAGGAAGAAAAAAGTCAACTGGTAGCATTCTTTGAACTTCTAGGGGAAATAAGGAGACTTTTATTATGTGACTTGGCAATTGCAGAAATATTGGAAGGGAGAGAAAATAGTTATTTAACTTCTAACAGTGAAGTAATGGTGTATGCTTTGAGAGAGAACAATATTACTACATAATCAAAACACACAACTGGAAGAGTTGCTTGCTATCTTCAAGAAATACTCAAATCAATCTTCCTTCAATCCTACGGCACTTCATTTCTATAAAGATTCTTTATTCAGGTGAATTTGGGTTCCTACAATGACAACCACATACCTGGATAGCCTTGCCCGTTGTAGGGGATGCTGGCACACTGGGATGAGTCACAGTATCCAGGAGGACCTGGGGGTCCTCGGATACCTGAGTTTCCAGGACGACCAGGGGGGCCTGGGGGACCTCTGGAACCTGTGGACCCTGGTGGACCCGTTCTGGATTCTCCTTGTGGACCTAGTGTGGGTAGAAACAAATATTTCTCCTCTTGTTAAATACATCTCCTGAGGCCGTCAGCAATACTTTGGCCTCTCCACTGCCTCAAGACTAGGCGGCTCCCTACTGTATGGTAAGAAAATATTTCCTTACGAAATCACCAATATGAACCTAACTGTGGAAATTTCTTACCAGTGATTCATAAGAGTTAAAGACAGAAATCTAACTACTTCAATGATTTCATTCCAAGAAAACAGACTGAGCAAGAATGAAGCCAAACTAAAGATATCAATGAGTTCTCTGCTTGCTCCTACTCTCACAGAGATAAGACCACCTGAAGGCAATGGCTCTATTAGCCACATTAGACTGCCGGGAAAACATGGAAGTACCCGCTCCATACCTCTGAACTATGTGAGGCAATGTCATGTCTACATCGAGTGGTACTTGTGGCTAACATAAACCTAAATATATTACCACTAGGGTTGACCTTGGGTTGCAAGGGTCTCATGGACACTATCATGAAGAAAAAAATTCATTTTCAACCCAGTAAAAGAAATGCATAAAACAACTAGATAACGATTTCTTTCCAAAGCATCCATAAAGAACCTGTAAGTGAAATCTGGTGATGTCTCTCTCCAACTTTTTAGTGAGAATACTTTTTTTTTAGTCTACTAGCAACATCTTGAAGAATACTAGAAAAAAAAACAGGAAGTGATACCATTCTTAAAAGCTATGAGGCCAAACAAAACGGATTAAGAATTGCATAAAAAAGAAAACAGCAACCCTCTGTGTCACTGAAACTCAATCCTTCGCATATTAAAGTTATAGCGGATGCTCAATAGAACACATGCAAACATTTTCTGAGCAAAGAGAACATAAAAATGAGGAGGTTCTACGAGTTCAACCTCTTGCTAAAGTACGAAAATACCATGATGATAGCCATGCCTGAAGCTAACATGATGAGGTTGTGACTCTCTTGGGGGCCAGGGGGCTGTAAGCTCTCCCAGTAGTTGCACTGTATTATTTTATGTACCAGCAGACCTACCTGGGGGGCCAGGCGGACCTCGAGCCCCTGGAGACCCAATACCCCTTTCGCCTTTCTCTCCTGGCAAACCTAAGGAAGGACAAAAAGATAAAGCGCAGGAGGAAAATGATCAGGAAACATGCAGTCTTCCTTTTAACTGACATTACCTGATTCAAGTCATTGACTTCCCTCAGTGAAAGCACAACCCAGTGTTTCACAGAAGTTCACTCTTTAAGCCAGACTCTTTCTAGACATTTGTGTAATTCCAGACTCATGGCCAGGAAACCAATGTGGCTACACGTCAGGGGAAAAATTATTTGAAGAAAAAAACACATCTAATATATATTTTTAGAAACAGTTGTTGCAAACAGAAATCAAATAAAGAGTTACAGCTCATTGAAAACTATCTTATCTTTAGCAGCCCTATTCGTGCAACATCCGAGCCATCAGAATTACAGAAATATCTAGGTTTTCTACGGAATGTTAACTGCAACTTTGACAATATCAGTACCCAGAATCCTGAAACATCTGGAATCAGATAAGACTATTTTTCTTCTTTTCCTCCAATGACACTTATCTATCATAAAATTAAAGTGAAACAAACACATAAGACTAGTGCCAGGCTCTGAATAAAAGAACAACAACAAAAAAATTGGATCTAAAACTGTACATTCAGTTGCTGCCCAACTCTTGCCAGTCACAACAATTAATAAGCTTCTAGTGCCTGATTTAGTTTGCCAAGATACAGGTTTTTCCCATTAATAGCAACCAGAAATTCACATGATCTTTACTAAGATCCGAAGATATGGGGCTCTGTGGCTTGTAGCCACCTAACAAGACAGGTTCAGGGACCATAGCTCTTCTGGGACTGTTCAAACAAGACTAAAGTAGTTTACCAAGTTCAGTCTTCTATGTACTTTTTTACATCCCCAGGCTCCTACATGTGTAGTTCCTTCCTGTATGCTCATGCTGCAGCCAGATACACCTACCTCGTTCCCCCGGGGGACCCTGCATGCCCGGCGTGCCCGGGAAGCCTGGTCGCCCCCCAGGTCCGGGTTCTCCCCTGGCTCCTGCGCTGCCCGGGGGACCTGGAGGACCTGGTGGGCCGGGCTGGTTCCGATTGGAGTGGTAATCATTTGGAATCTGATTTAGCATTTGATTGAATCTGTTCATCTGACCTATAAATAGAAATAACACTTGTCAGTAAGAACCCTAATAAGGGAGGAATGAGAGGGTGAAATTGTTTTCTCTTAGTATCTAGTGAAAGACATCTCTATCCCTCCCCTGTCCAGGAGGCATTCCAACCTAAACCCTAAAAATAAAACTCTCCAGTCACCAAGGACAAACTGATCTCTGATAAATAACTGTCTCCACAAAATACCAACCAAGTAGGCCACCAGGCTTACTATAAAGAAAAATGAGTTGTGGAAGTTTACTATGGCTCTGATAGAAACCCCTGAGGTTTTCCTGACAATGTCACTCAAAAGAAAAACTTTTTTAAAGTAAGAAATGATGCCGTGATTGTGTGTACACATGGCAATGATCATTAGGATTTAGTGTAAACTGAAGCTGCCTGTTGGATATGTTGAAAAATATACATTTCTGGGCCTCATCTTCAAAGACAATCATTCACCAGGTTTCGAGTCTGACCCAGCAACCCTAGCTTCTAAAAGCAACAGAGGTGACTCTAATGCAGGTGTTCCCTGGGCAGCACTTCAAGATACAGTGATTAAAACTTCTGACAGAGGGAACCCCAAGTTTAAGGCCCCAGTTGGTGTTCAGGCACTGAACTTTATGAATAAACTTAATAGGCCTCACGGAATATGAAGAAAGAGTCTGTAAAAGGTAAGGAGGCGATACTAAAACGTCCCCGCCGGGATGGACGTTCTAGGATTAAACTGGTCGGGGTGGGTGGGCCTCCTTCCTTAAAGTCACACAACCACTGAAAGGTTTTAACTTGAAAGATCCAATCGCTGCTGCTTCCAGATATGCCCAGATGGATGAAGATCACTAAAAATCCTACAATGTGGAAATTGAAAAGCCCCTTTAAAGTGTGATTTTTGTATCAAACCAAATGTAAGGATAACTGCCTTTATTTTACCTTAAGTTATTATTTTATCTTCAGGACAATCATTAAAATATCACTAACCGGCTACAAAATTGGCAATGTATAAAAAAAAAAAAGGAGATAATCAAAAATGAAATAGAAGCATACATCTTAGAAAATTTATGACTCAAACTTTGCATTTTCCTGCAAATAAATAAAAGCTTTTCATACATTAAAAAGAAAGAAATTTACCATTTATCAATTGTTCACAGACTTGTCTTGCAACTGCCCGCATCATGTTCTGAGAAGCCATGTCTCCCTTGTTAATTAAATCAATGAGAATCATTAGCATATTATTTCTATAGTTTCAGACTTCAGTGTTTTACACACAAAATAAATGTATGTCAAATTTTAAGAAATACATACTCTATCGCCTTTCTCTCCTTTCAATCCAGAGGCACCCTAAAATGCAGGAATTTCATGTATTAGAAAGTGATAAACATGATCTAAAATGATTCATGAACAAACATGATGATGAAGATCTGCTTTCTAATGAATTAGCAAAATGACAGACAGTCACATCAATGTTATTCACATTGTCTCATCTATAAAAGCAATCTAATTCCCTCTCACCTCCTTCCCTGGGAAGCATATGACCTCCAAAAGAGTGCTGAGATGTAAATTTGAGGATAACAATTTAAAAGTTATGAACTATGCATACGTTTTATGATGCCATTCACAATACAGGCCTGGAACTGAAATGCATGTGAAAATTGCTCTTGTACCATTATATTTTCTTTTATATCACCATAGCTGGGTAACTCAGCTGGTTATTGTGGATTCTCCATGACATTCATCTTGATTCAGTTCCAGTAAGAACTATTGAGCTTTTGTCAATTCCCTAACTAAACATATAACTACTTCCAGTGGTTTTTTGTGTGCATTGAGTATAAAAGGAACCACATGTCTCCCTTATTAGATAATTCAATCCAAATGGTGGTCCCACATCCAAACACAACTACAGAATATTTGTCCCTGCTCCGTCAGGCCTCTCATGGGCCATGAGAGGATCCTGGGAAAGTTTTCCTTATAGTGCAAGAAGTTTTTGTGTTTTAGTAATGAACTTCCAGGCTGCCAACTGCTGTCATAGAAGGAACATCTGAACTATTGAAAAATCTGATCGTCAGATAATATATCCCAAACCAAACCACATCTTACAGTCTCCAATACTTTTGCCTGAATGACTCCAATATCCTCCTAACTGGTCTTCCTGCTTCCTGGATTGCCCTCCTAGGGCCCAATCTCCACCCAGAAGCCAGACTGACATTTTTAAAAGGAAAATAAATAATGTCACTCTTTTGGCTCCAAGGACCTCTTGTGACACTTAGAATAAAAGAATTCCTTCTCATTGGCCAGATGATCCACATAATCACCTCTGCTCAGCTCTCTGACAGGATCTTTCATTTCTCTCTCCTTCACGCCCTTGATTTTGGGTACCCAGGGCTCTCCACTGTTCCTTTCCTATACCAGATTCCTTCTTCATTCGGGGCTTTTACGCATGCTGTTCCTAGAGCCTGGAATCCCCTTCCCACAGCTCTTCAAACAGCTTGCTTCCTCAATTCATTTCACCGCCTCCAACAGGCTCTGACAGCTATGTCTAAAATAGCCACACACTCTCTAGCCCTCAGTCTGTTTCTGTTTTCTTCATGTCACTCATCATCACCAGAAATATTTATGTACATGTTTTTGGTCTATATCTCCCACTAGAATCTCCATGAGGGCAAGGATTGAGTCTTGTTTACTCTTATATCCCCAGACCCTAAAACATTGACTAGCTCATTTAGGCACTAAACAAGTAGGTGTTGAGTAAATGAATAAAAATAGCCCATAAGCAGTTTTTGAAAACATCCACTATACCACATCAGGTGTTGTAAGTTAGCAGGAAGATATCAGCTGGTTATAACAGCTAATGACATAACTGGTGTGCTGCAAGAATTTTTAAACTATGCAGTACCTGAGTAGTCAGGGACATTGATCTCTTTTCCCTTAGATTGTCAAATAAAAAAAAAATGACAACAGCCATCATAACAATAGCCATACAGTATGAATAAATCAAAATTATACCAATGTTGTTGTTTTTTGTCAGATCGGCAAAAAATAATTATATATTTTGGTGTGTCAGAATTTTACTAATTAGTTGATATGCACCGTGAAATGAAAAAGGTTGAAAATAACTGACAATAGCTACCTAATTGAGTCAAGGTCTTTGCTAACACCTCTGCTACATACTTTGGTGTATAGAAATGAAAGGTAATATAGAACAGATAAGAAAAGAAGAGGCAACTTGCCACCTTAAAGGACAAGAAAAATTAAAGGAAAAAGGTCAATAAGGTCCAAATAAATGTTACAATCATAAGGTAAACTAGAGTTAGGCTCTCCCTTTGCCAAAAGTACCAGACACTGTTAATGGAAACATATTATTATTGACTTTGGAGCCTTATGTAAATTTCAGGGATTTTTTTTTTTTTTTACATTTACTGCTATTTTGATACTGTTCCTGGTGGTGTTGGGCTTTTTTAATTCACTGCCACTGTGAGATTGTTCTGGTATAGAGGGTGTGTGGAAGTCATTGTCATTGCCAGGAGCTAAGGTCACATTTCAAGTCAAGGAAGGGCCAGTTTCCTTCAGGTTTCCAGCGGCAGCCATCAGTTGCATCAGGAAGAGTCTTGTGTGAGACTCTTTGGTCATAGCAAAACAAAATGGAACCCTATTTGAATAGGCAGAAGAGTTCCATGTACTTTAAGCTGCTCTTATGATGTTTCTGCCATGACTCATTGAGGAAAAGAGAGTAATAAGATCATATGTTAGGGTACACACAGATTATAAAGTACTTCAGGAGTCCTTTAATCTTTACGTTGCTTGTTTAATTGTATGTAAACATAAAAAGCAACCAATGTCTCATAAAGATTCTACCCTAAATTTGCATGGCATTAAAAAAGTTTTTTAAACTCAGGTTTTTGTCAGTTGGACAACACTTAAGAAAACAGAAGTCCAGTCCGGAGAGCAGCTAATAATTGGACTCAATTATCTTTAGGGTAACTTTTTTATATTTCAGAATTCTATTTAGACAAGATATATCCACAATTCATATGCAAAATAAGGAAGAACTTGTATGTGAAGCCCAAAAGCCATTACAAATACTTCTGGATATGTTAAGGACGCCAAATTCAGTTTTGGAGATACTAATACCAAAGATAGTAGATGGTATGCACAACACCATCTCAATGACTATTTTAACCAAAACACCTGGCTAAAGGAAAGTTAAAGCGGACATAAATTGGGCAGTATAAAAAAGTAAAATAGCAGATTCAATCAATGCTTTTAATTCTGGGACTAATGTTCTTAGCATCCTCAAGGAAAGAGAACAGAGCAAGTGGCCTGGCTGGATGATACAGGGTAACATCCGCACACTCCCTATGGAAGCACCATGCACCATCATCATGGACTTTTCTATGCTAAGCAGCATAGCACTCCTAAATAAAGAGAATCATTCTGCTGACCCAGCTTAAAGTGTTAGTACAGTGCAGAAATATGTGTCGTGGCTCATCATCCCTTTCTCCTTTTAAAGAAACCCTATAACCACATAACGTTTTCATCCCAGAATATTCTAACTCAGAGAGAAAAACTTTAGAACTAGTACCAAGTTAATTCCACTGGTTTGGCATGGTTTCAACAAACGCTTCAAACACAGTACAGCAAAGATAACATAAATATGCCGGAGCCTTTCAGTGTCCTCATTATTGAAGGCAACAGTGAAATAACTCCAGACGTGCAAGCGGTCCACTTACTGGCCTGCCGTGGTCTCCGGGCTTGCCTGGCTTCCCGCTCGGTCCTGACACTCCTGGGGAGCCTGGGGTTCCCTACAACACGCAGGTCGGGAAAGAGGATGATATGATGAAATTAAAATCCCATCTGAAGTAAACTAGTAAAGTGGCAGCTTTAAAAGCTTTTCAATGAAGCAGCATATAATCACATTTTCACGAAGAGGAAAACCAAATTTTAAGTTGACACAAAGAGAAACAAATCTTGAAACTTCCCATTCAATTTTTATTGACTGTATAGTTCTAAAATATATGTTTAGGCCATTTGAGATATATATATATCCATATATATATATATACATATATATATATATGGATATATATATATATATTTCACAATTCACAGACTGTGATCTCAGTAAATTGGTACAAAGTGACGCTGCAGAAAGCAATTCCTGTTTTTTAGTGTATTTCTATTACATAACCAGACAAGCCATCAAAAGACAGCAGTGCAAACTTTGGCTGGGGAAGAAATGAAGAAGGTAGCCAGTTTTTTGCTAAGTTTGGCATCACTGTGGCAGAGTCTCCCCTTGTCTGCTGGAAATTGCACCCTCAGCCTAGAAATTCACTTTCTCTTTGGTGCATTCTCCACATTTCCACTTCCTTCGGTCACATCAGCACCCTGCACCCCGTCAAAACCATAAGAATTTCTCCCTGTTTCTTTTAACCCAGCTTCAAGACACATTAGTCATCTTCCAGTAGAATATACAGGGTGAGCCCTAGCTCAGTGGATAGAACGTCGGCCCTCAGACGGAAGGGTCCAGGTTTGATTCCAGTCAAGGGCACGTATTTGGTTGCAGGCTTGATTCTCAGCCCTGGTAGGGGCGTGTGCAGGAAGCAACCAATAGATGTGTCTCTCTCACACCGCTATTTCTCTCCCTGTTCTTCCTTCCACTCTCTAAATATCAATGGAAAAATATCCCTGGGTGAGGATTAACACAACAACAAAGAATATACAGGGTAGGGCAAAAGTAGGTTTACAGTTCTGAGTATATGAAACAGTTTATTCTTGTATTATTACTTATTAATTATTGTATTTTTCCGTATGAATGACTGTAAACCTACTTTTACCCACCTTATATATAATACCTATTAAGCAATACATTATGTTCTAAAGCCTAAAATTTCCTTAAAATGAAATAATCAGATTTGGTAAAATAATCCTTTACTTCCTCAATTATGCAAATTTTAAGCTCTGTAGTAAATACTTTAGATGAAAGTTTACTATACAGTTAAACTCCCCCTTACCTTAAAATATATATATTGGAAATAAATTAGATTATTTTAACATATGCTATGGAATCTGCATACTCTACCATTATACTTGAAAACCTCCATCATCTTAAACAATTTAACTGTGATCTCACCTGGAGGCAGGTATATAGATGCCACTTGCAAATCACTGGCTTTAGTATTTTCCCCAAAGATCTTAATAAGGAGACCTACTTGAATAAAACTTAATTCCTCAGGATGACTGATAACTATGCAGTAATAAATGTCCTTAAAACTCAAATATCATAGACCACAGATCCTTAAAATTGTATAACAGGAAGTAACTAGTCAGGTCATAAAATGCCACAACTCAATGTGGGGATAGGGGGCACTAAGGCACTAATAGCTAGTGGCCAAGTTATTTAGGGATATTTTCCTATTTTTCAAATATAACTTGATTAAAAAACAAAACTGTATTTTAACACATCTGTTTCCTCTAGCCCAGTGGTTCTCAACCTTCCTAATGCCGCGACCCTTTAATACAGTTCCTCATGTTGTGGTGACCCCCAATTTCATTGTTACAAATTGAACATAATTAAAGCATAGTGATTAATCACAAAAACAATATGTAATTATATATGTGTTTTTCCGATGGTCTTAGGTGACCCCTGTAAAAGGGTCGTTTGACCCCCAAAGGGGTCGCGACCCACAGGTTGAGAACCGCTGCAGTCTACCCTTTTTTGATTTAGGAAAATAAAAACTAAACAGCAACCCCAATGGTGTAGCCCCAGCACAGGAGCCAGGTTACCAGGCTCTTCTCTAGCAAAGTGGAAAGACAGCGAGGTAACGAATCCTGTTCTTACCGGTGGCCCAGGTGGACCCCTGGGTCCCATTGCACCATCTTTTCCAGTAAAGCCCTATTGAAAAAATAAAATTAATTAGAGGGTAGTGAGAGAACGACCACGTGAAAAGGAAAAATGCTAAACAGGTTGCTAAGCATGAAGGGTGAAAAATTTAACCCAATTTCCTGTTTGCGGGTCACCCTGCAATATAAAGGCAAATACACCACAAAAAAGAAAAACACTTTCAAATTTAATTTAATGCCTTTCACTGAATACTTAATTTCTATACTCATTCATTTATGTAGTTATAAATACAATCATTTTAAGAGTCAAATTCATCTTCTGCAAAGAAAACATTTCTTTCTTAGAGATACTAGCTTTTGCTTTTGTAAGAGTATAAAGTCTAAAGGAAAAACTAACCCTTTCTACTGCACAGTCCATGTCCACACACTGGCCCAGGAGGGATAAAAACGGGATGAAAGATATGTGGCTGAGAAAAGCACGCGGTCTCATAAAAGAGGAAAGAGAGCCCAAGCAACTGATCAGTAAACTCCCTTGCTCATTCCCAGAGCAATGGCCAGGGCAGGACTTGTGAAGTTTCCCTTCCTGATGAACTCTCCTTCGCCCAAAAAAAGAGGCGACGAAGAACCCCCTCCATTGGAAACAAAGAAAACCCTCAGTCATGTAATTTTTTCTTTTTAGTGGCCCATCTCTCCTCATCTCACAGAGAAGGCCAGACCGGCATTGGTGTCTGCTTGATTGGGAAGGAGAGATCTGCCTCAGGAGCCCAGCGCATCTCCACACAGGCTCCCTCTTTGGCTGTCTCGCCCCATCTCCACCCAGTGCCAAATGACCTCTGTCTGGAATGAGTCACTCTGCGACCCAGCTAGCATCCATCCCAATAGCAGGTCTCTGAAATCCAGCCGAGGATTTCTGAGTCAGATCGTTTTTTATGGTTGTCACATTCCTCTGTTGAAGGAGATGTTTGTCTCATTTTCTGCAGAGAATAAGAGTGATAATTTCATCCATATTCCTGGATTCTAGCAAAAATCAGGAACATTTGGATTCAGTACCCACGTTTCCATTGATTTTACAATAGGAAGTTTAAATTATTTCTTTAAGATGGTGCTACATATATTCTACTATAAAAATTTCTGAAAATGTTTTTCAGAAAATTATAGAGATAAAAATTTCAAACTATTTTCTGGAAGATCTAATCCTGCTTAAGGAAAACACAGATTCCAACTCCATCTGCTGTAACGTCAACACTGCTCCCGAGAGCCACGTAAGCAAAAAGGTGCTGGTAGTAGGGTTGCTTGGGCAGCTTGAATGGGTTTTCTTCCATCTGAATTTCTCCAAATGCTATACAGGGCATGCTCGCTTTCTTTCTTTCTTTCTTCCTTCCTTTCTTTCTCTCTTTCTTTCTTAAACTATCATATTTCTGAATAACCCTTCTTTAGTCAGCCTAAGAACATTTTATTTTTTCCAGCTTTATTGAAGTATAATTGACAAAAGTATCTATAAATTTATGGTGTATAAGGTGATATTTTGATAGACATATTCGTTGTGAAATCATTACCACAATCAAGAAAATCACCTTAATCATGATTATATCCATCGCCTCACATAGTCAATTTTTGAGTGTGCTGAGAACATTTAAGATCTACTCTATTAACAAGTTTCAATATACAATATAAAATTATCGACTATAGTCACTATATATACTAGACTGTAGATCTCCAGAACCTATGCATCCTGCATAACTGAAATTTTGTACCCTTGACCAATATCTCCCCATTGTCCCTTCTGTCTGCCTCTGGCAACTACGATTCTCCTCTCTGCTACCCTGCATTCAACTCTTCTTTAGATTCCATACCTAAATAAGATTATGCAGTATTTGTCTTTTTGTGTTTGGCTTATTTCACTCAGCATAATCCTCCAGGTTCATCCATGTTGTCCCAAAAGACAGGATTTTCTTATTTTTTAAGACTGAATAGCAGTCTATTCTACATATATTACAGTTCTTTGTCCACTCAGCCATCAATGAACACCTAGGACTAACCAACTATCTTCTTTCAGGAGAAACACATGTTTAACTTGTCCTCAGAAGGACTCTCCACTGAGGCAGCTGCAGATCTTTGTGCTGTAACTTTTTCTTTATTGTCAAAGCTCTGGCAGTTACTGCTGCTTGCCCTCATGGAAGGGGGGCTGAAGAGACCTATGGTTGTCTTCATAGATACACACGTATCCAGTACATGTGGTACTTTTGTTACTTTTTAACACTCCCCAAAGCTGTGTCTTGTTTTGGAAATTATCTGTGTTGAAGACAACCCATGCATTCTGTTCCTAACAACTCCACCTTGGTAACAATCTTCCTTCTCCACCATGAGCCTTTGGCTGGCTCTCCTGAGCGTTCTCTTCTTCTACCACAGGGTTTGAGTTTTGTTCTTTCTTTCTCTCTCTCTCCCATTTTTTTTTGTTTTGTTTTTGTTTTGTTTGTTTTTTTGCTAACATGCTTGCACCCAAAGTCTACCTAACTTTCCAAAATCATGTTCTATCAGTGCTGTACTTTCAGTATAAGTAGTAGAAAACTAAGTGGTAGGTGTACAAGGCTGTGAGGAAAAGAGTGGAATGATTTTCTGAAAAATCTCCTTGCCCTAGGAGACCTGGGTGGCCTCACCACAAAGTTGGATTCTCAGATTAGAATCTGAGAGTGAAAAGCAGAATCCTTCCCACTCCCTCATTTTTCAGGGCAGCAGTGATAGTGGTGATGGCTGCTGATTTCCAGTTCAAAGAGAGCATGTCGATGGGGTTTGCACTGGTGACCCACCATGTCTGCATGAAGCCCACACTGGGTGGTGGCAGTGGGCCCAATAGGTTTCAGTAGTAGCAGCTGCAAGCAATTCAGCCCATCATCACTTCTTGTATTTTTTTGGTTTTGTTTTCTAATTGAGTAGACTGACTCTTGCAATCTCACTATTGTCTTTTATTGTTAAATAAGAATTTTTTAAAAACTAATTCCAGTTTCAAGAGTCAGGGAAAAAAATGCATACACACACACACACACACACACACACACACGTATCTGTGTGTGCGCATATATATATGTGTACTAGTATATATATGTGTGTGTGTGTGTGTGTGTGTGTGAGTATATTATATTATATATATATGTATATATATAATATCATATATTACATATATGGTACCAGACTCACAGAGAATACCATTTTCTCTTTGACCTCTCTTCTCTCCCAAACTCTAAAGTAGGCATAGGAGCAAATAAAATTCATTGCCATATCATTCACCATTTGGTGTTATCTGGGAAAATCCTCGCTTCATGTGAATGACCTCCTTCTTCCATCCAGCGGTGTCTTGGAGGTATTAAGGTAAGCAAGTCAATGTTCTCAATGACAGCTTTTACAGCACCAAGGGCCCTCTCAGATTCTGCTGCTAGTCATATGTTTTAACTTTTGATTAGGCAGAATACAGACTACTCTCAGACTGTTGTCTAAACCATAGTATGCTAAAAAGCCCTTAGTTCTTTGTTCTGAGCAAT